CAATGAAATGTGATTCGTATGTATTCAATGACCCGCTTCATGTCCCCGCATATTTAAGAATTAGCAACTTAGCAGAATAAACATCGTATCTCGAAAGAATAACATACATATTAATGTGTATTTTTTTACAAGACATTAAGAATATACACAACGTTGACGATGATCGCGAAGTCGCGGACAATTTCGCGAGCCCCGGTGTGTCGAAGGACGCGTGAATGAACGGCCGGAACTTTTTAAGGACGCGGCCGAGAAAGTCAGTGACTTCAATAGTGACCAATAATCATATACCATTATATTTCCTTTGAGACACGATGTAGATATCCATCGATGCCAAAATTATCTATTCGTTGTGCGTTAGAAACACAAATAAGAAAATGTGATGGCTCAAAAAAATATCAGTCCGAAAAAAATTAGAATAAGAATTAAAGAACGAGATTATTATAAAATAAATCCTTCAAAATATACAACATAATATAAAAATGTTTTAAACATTAGATATAAAGAAGAGCATAATGATTCTTCTATTAAATTGCAAAATGTTAATAATTGCTCATTTACTCTAGACGGTTACACGTTTTATATATTATTTTCTTTTGTACTTTTTAAACATTTCGTCGTTAATTGTTTGATAAATATCTTATTATTTTATCTATTTGCCCATCTATTTAATTATATTACCCAATTATCTTATTATATTTATCTATCAACATAATTAAAAGCAGCACATCGTGAATGTTGATAATGCAATAGATTACGCTCCGATTAAAACTTACAACATCAGTATCTTTGAATTTGCGATAGAAAGTTAATTTTCGCACGATCACATTTCTTCAAAGACAGGGAAAGGATTCGGATCAATTTTATCGATCGATTTCTTGGTGATGCAAAAGAGTCGCATAAAGATAATATTGCCAGCACAATTTTATTGAGATTATAATTTTTCGTTAATTTTTGTTCATTTATTCTTCACTCCGAACATAACATATATGCCGTATAAAATTGTTCCGCAAAAATCTAGTAAACATTTTACCACGCGTATCGCGTGACCGCGAAGGACAAATGGATCGCGGAAAGAACGAGATGCATGCAACATGTCGAATACATTTCAAATAATTAATAAAAGTACATTACTGCTCATACACACACAGACGCACACAAGTATATTGGTTAAGTAACTATTATCGCCAGTCTATAGACATTATAATGTTATTCAATATTCATTGCATTTAACAAAATAGCCTATTAAATATAAAAGGCTGCAAAATTGAACTTTTTTCTGCGATCGTAATAGGACATTTTTGCGGATTCAGCGCACAAAAAATTGTAATGAACTACTTTTCTTTTCCAGATCGCAATATTATATAGACTTGTGATATTTTCAATGTTTTAATAATTTCTATTTAGAAGTTAAAAACTATATTCTAAATTGTGAAAATATTTTAAAAATGATTGATGAATATCTGTTCACTTATTTCAAATAGTTTCTTTCATTTTTGTCCGATCTACTAGAATCTATCTTTCTATAATGCCGAAAAGATTGCAAGTTTAGATATAAAAAAATTTTTAAGTTTTAATAGTCTTTAAATTTTTTACGGATTGAACAATAAGGTATTTTAAATAAATTATTAAAAAAAAATAAAAATTTACGAAAAAATTGCGTACATATCTTCTGCTAATTTTGAATATGTTACATTAATTCTGTCAGTTGTTTAAATGACTTTTTTTTTAGTGAATTCCTTTTTTTTTAAATATCTTATTCTGCTGATGGAATTCATAACTTGATTTCTAACGAACCGACTTTATAATTTCATACACGATGTGAGCGAAGATTCGCGAAATTTATTTAAAATAATTTTAATTTTGAATATTGTTTCGACGAAATAATCTCCATCAGATAATGCTTGCGAGACGTGTATTCGCTTGGAGATTAAGATTATAATAAACGTCTTGTAATAATTTATGTCTTTTTATGAATAACTTTATTATGAGAACATCGCACGCAATTTATGTACATAGTAAATACTTCCTAGTTTTATTGTTAACCTTAATAAACCGCATTACAATGAATATTAATATATGAGAAAAGCATATATAATTATCAATGTATTTATAATTATAAATTAAATGAAACAATTAGTATAGAAAATTTAAGTACTTCGAATTTTTTTGTGACATATAGTGTTTTGTTATTTCGGAGCGCAATATTTCTTAACGAAAATATTTCTAAATAAAAAATAAAAATAAATAAAAGTATTTTTAATGAAGTATAAAATAATGTGTAATTTTCATGATCGCCCACAATTGTGTATTGTCAGATCTTAATAGCTATTATTTTTTTCAATGATATTACTATTTTGATACTTAGTTTGTGCGGCTAAGAAGGATTCCGTGAAATTATTACATCAACATTTAATTTGACTTCTACAGAAAGAATCAATATTCGTATTTTTTTATCAGATTTATGCATATCTTATATTAAGTATAATGCATTAAGTTTTGAATTATTTAAAAAATTTTTTAAAAATTCGCATTTCCATTATATATCTATGCAATCTAGATGAAGAATATAATTTACTGTAATTGTTAAAAAAGAGAGAAAGTGATACAATGCATATTAAAATAACTTTGAGAATATCTTATACATTGACTGTAATGCATTTCTTGGCTGACAATAAGTGCATAGACTTAATTTTGGCGGTCAGCGTCTTGCAAGACTGGTCTCAAGGTGGAACACTCGCGAATAAAGACCTTTCATGTCGACCTTTCTTAATCTTAAAAGGGCAAGGTTACTTTTATAAAATCTTAAACGTGCACGTAAGCACATTTATTCATTTTCATAAAAACTGGCAGGAGTTTATCTATCCTAAAATGTGCGAAATTTCGTATCACTTTTGAGATAAGTTTCTTTGATGAATTATTCATCTAAAATTATTCTTATCTCTCTTTTCCTCCTTTTCTCCCTTTCTCTTTCCCACGCAATTATTGAAAAATTATGTATTCTTTTCGATAAAATTTCCTAAATACTGCAGCAACCAGAAATAATTAATAATCACGATTATCATTTTTTTTTCTTTTTCTGTTATCTAAAAAATTATATATGCATAAACGTTAAAATTGCGGTCTACAAAGAGTTCACAAATCGCAGATAATTGACCATATTTGTCAGTGTTATAATAATTTTTAAAATATGAACGTAAAATCGTTGCTTTTGATTGAGACTCATTAAAAAAAAAATCTAAATAAATCGAAATGCGTGTAAGTGTTTTTTATCAGTTTTGTTTATACAAGTTAAAAAACACCTATTCTTTATTTATGATATAATTATCTAATTTTGTACAAATAATTCCATTCTCTATACACGCATATATTATACATATACATATACATACATTATTAACTAAATTTGTGTATATATATCAAACCAAGTAAATTGCAATAAAAGAACGATAAATATACAAACGCATGTATGTAAATAAATACTATACATTGCAAATTTATATTCCACACAAAATCATTATATGCGTTGAACGAATGTGACCGTGCTGTGTCATTAACGATTAATACTTTATTTTTTCCAATGTAATTACAATACGAATTTTAACATACAATAGCATGTATGCATTTTCTTTATCAATTGTCATTCTTGCATTATGTATTATATATTATATTATAATTATATTAAATAAGCAGTAATATTTAATTAGGATCAATATATTACGTCACACAGATGAGACGTAGATTTTTTGCGTTTTTACATAGTGAACTTATGCTGCATAAAAATGAAGATCTACATTTGAATATATTTACTTTTTTCTTCATAAAAAATTCATGAATATAGTTTCGCTGAATCATGTTTCATACGGAATAAAAGCTAAATATTTTGTATTATACCTTTTTTAAATTCTTTTATTTTTTCAATAATTAATAATAAAAAATTAAGTAATACTGATATCGTGATATTATACCTATTCGATATTTGTTTTGAAATTTTCTATTAAATTTTTAAAATATTTTAAAATATTTGTTGTAAAATCTGTACATACACGAATAATGCAAATACTAAATGACGTATATGCAGATAAAATTAAATAAATTACAAAGAATTTACGAGGAAGAAAAGACGTCATTTTTCTCAATAATTCTTGATTGTATTTTTTTTTGTTTCCAACACACATATCTCACTTTATTCAATGTTTATGCGCAGGAAGTCCCGCAAAGTAATTGCAACCGGTTTATACTTGTTTTTTCTCCTTCAAGGTCTCTCTCTTCCAAGGACCTGAGGTACTCCGCAATCATAAATCGAAGATAGGGTGTCTTCGCAGATGCAGCCTCCGTTAGTCGGACAATGCACTGTCGGAATTTTATCTTATTCAATGAAATAATTATACTTCTTTTGGATTTTTTTTCAAGTTATATTTAATGGCGGATAATAAACTAAAATTTGAATAGAATCGAGTCGAAAACGCATCATAGATAGCATGGACGTATATGAATAGCAATGTGAGATAATATATTCTAGAAGAAGGAGAGTTGTCTTTTTTTCTCGTAAATTGTGGTTAACCACAGAAATTTGGCCGCAATTATATTACCGTCCTTCAAAGTTTTTGATCGTTTCTTTCAAAACCTGTTAAACTACAATTTATATACTGCTAATAATGATTTCACAAGATATAATAACTATCTGATTGCTTACGACATGCTCGCGTCATTATAGGGTTATTTGTACTAATCTAAATTATGAATGTCTTATAATGTTTAGAAGAAAGGTGCGGTTGCTTGTAATCGAATTTTTTAAAATATTTAATACATTGCTTATATCTAATTATAGCATACCAATAAGTATAATCTCTCGTTAGTATCAATCTCTATTTTACATCTTTCGCAAAAATTATGCTTTTATATTAATAAAGTAACATATTCAAAAAGATTAAATTTTAAAGTTTTATCGATAATTGAACATATAAATAAAATAGCAAAATATTTCTCTTTTTCAAAATGGTATACATTTTGATTGAATAAATCGAATAAATGTAAAAATCATAACTCATGAAACAACACTCATACAAAGTGCTTTACTTACATGTCCTAAGTTTCTACGTATAGTACATTAAAATGTGAAAGTCAATTAAGATTTGCAAGTGTATAATTATATATTTTTACGTTACAATTATAAAATAAGTCTAAGAAAGAAATACATAAAATGACTAAGTTTATCATTTATAAAAACAAGCATCAATATTGTCATTGAAAAATAATACAAAATGATATGAGAACGATATTTCATAAAAAATATAACAAATAATAATGACTCGTTCAATATTCTTGTAAAGCTTCGCGGTATAATGCAGAATTAATCATTAGGAAATCCGGGGAAGTCCGACGGAAAGTTCATTTGCTACATGAAGAAAAAGTACCTACCAAAGTGAAGCATTAATTTCGCCGAACCTATTCACAGAAATCTCGTTCATCTTGATGAACAAACAAGACTTGTAATCTGTTATTTCCTTAGGAAGATTTTTAAGCCGATGATAAGTAATCAGTAATCAAATCCACAATTTGTGTGAACGTTGCACTTTAGTTGCATTTTCGTATATTGCATTTTATAAATCTGCTTTTATTTCATTTTATTTTTAGATATTTTGATCTTTGACATAAGGGGAAAAAATGTAGTGTCACTACAGATGTTTATACTAAACTAGATTGCTAATATGTCACTATTTGAATAATATTAAATGACTTGTAGGACACATGAAATTTTCGGTTGTGAGAAATAACGGTTCTGTATGTAAAATATATGCCATTTGTGTGAGTCTTACTTATAGTGTCGATGTGTATCCGCGTGGAATATGCTATTGTTTTATTTTTTATGCGATTTCATTGATTATGTTGACATATTCAAGACTGCCGCCATTTTCTTTTATACAATCGGAAATTTCACGCGACCGACGTCTGAAATCTATAGTAGCAATTTAGTTTAGTGTAGATATCTGTGAATAACACATGATTAACTGAAAAAACGATAGTCTTCTACATATCACACAAATCACTTATTGTAAGAGCAATATTCACAAGTGATATAAAGATAGCCATATAATTGCGCAAAATATACATACACTGTAAAAAAAATATGTAAAATTACATAAATAATAAATGTAAAATTACATGATAAATAATGAAAAGGTCAACATTTCTATTATTTATCGTGTAATTTTATACTTATTATTTAGGTAATTTTACATATTTTTATGTAATATATTACATATTTTTTTTACAGTGTAGATATAGGCAGTCAAGTATACTATCCCAGCCAAAAATGAATGATCAAATTGATGTCGAATCGATGTCGATTCGACATCGATTTATCTAATCAACGTTGATTCAACGATGAATCGACGTCAATTCGTCGTCTAATCAACGTCAATTCGATATCATTTCTGGCTGGGATAAGCTAATGGCATATATTTCTTATGTTTAAGTGTGCATTAAATTTTATATATGTATACATTTGATATTTTCCATTGTTTTATTTTTGCTTTAAAATGTTCAATAATTATTCACTGTCACATTTTATTGAAAGACATGACTTAATATCGACTTATTAATTTCTGGTTAATTAGATATGACTGCGCTCCCATCACATTTTATTATATATAACTTGTATAGCGATTTAGAATAATATGTAGAAATCTGTGAAAAAGACTTTCCATTTCTTTTGTTTTTAATTTTTTATTTAATCGATTTCTGTTTCGTTTTTGGTTTTGTAGTATGAAAAATCTCAATAGCTCATATCTCATTTGACATTTTTTGCTTAATCGTGACAACCATTTACAAGGTAAAAGGGATTCAAGGGATTAGCTAATGTTGGGTCAGGGTTACATTAAGAAGATTACATTAAGAAAGAAACAACCGTGAACATTACATTACATAGCAAATTAATTCTTCCATCGTGCTAACCTAAATCCTCGTTCATTAATTTCATTGTGTCGTAGAATTTTTGTAATATATAACAATGAAGCATGAGAGCACTAGCAGTATTTCATACAATCTCTAAATTGCCCAGCAATTTCTTCGCTTTTTAGTGTAAAATTTTATTTTAAATATAATTATTTATATTTATTATATTTATTTTAAATGTAATTATTTATTTTAAATATAATTATTTTTAATATTTTAAATATATTATATCTCTAAAGTAAGCTTTTACTTACTATTTGCTAATATCGGAAAATTGAATTTAGATATAAATCTCTAAAGTATCTCTAAAGTCTAAATTATAAATTTAGATGCGCGCAATTTTTCCGGTATCAGCAAATAGTTTAAATATCTTTGTCAAGTCCAAGAAGCATAATACAAAAGAAAAAATATAAATCTGAATAATCTTAAATAATTAATGTTGAAGAAATTGATCTCTGATTTATTTTTGCAAAGAATCTGGAAGGTTCGGAAATAATGATGTATAATAAGTCTCGCGAACATTCGCAGACTGCTCATTGAATGGTGTTACTTAAAATTGCATGTAGATGCATCTCACGGCTGGCGCAATTACCCCCCGTAATTTAGAAAAGGTGCAAACAACTTTACATCTCTCATGTTATCGCTTCTCGCATAATGATAATTCACATTCTCATTAGGACAATCAAGGACTGATGAAACAAGGAGTACAATACGCTACATACTTTTGTCAACATAGGATTAATGTGCACATTTGTTACACAGCTGCAATACTTTGCAATATCAATGTTGTAACTATTCGTAGAATAATCTAGCTTTATTGTGAGCGTTAAAACCTATAAAAAGATGGAATTCTTTGAAATAATAAACGATGTAACAATAAAATGTCTTTCTACCTCTTTTTTTTTTAATTATATATTAATTATATTGTATACTCAATTTATAATATAAAAATCCTTATGTAAATATATTTTTGTCACTATTATTATATACGCAAATATTTAAAAAATTACGTTGCTATTTAATTCATCTCTTTAAATTATTATTATTAAAATGTAAAAAAGATACATTTTTTATTTTCTTACATTTCTAATAGAAGAAAGATTAAATTATTAGAAATTCAAGAAACTTTTCGAAACTTTGAAGTGACTTATGAAATATGTTTTCACAGATTTTCAAGTATTAAGATTGCAAGATGTCGGGCATCGTGGAGTGGTATAGAGATTTAATCGACAATAAACAGGGTAATGTTACAACAAAAAGGATTCTTATATTTAAAAACAATATTGTTATACATATTAATGTTCAATCTCACATTTTTCCAGATCCGAGAACGGAAGAATGGTTTCTAGTTTCTAGTCCTGGTCCAACCCTGACGATCGTAGCGACATACATATACTTCTGCATCTCCGCCGGACCGAGATATATGAAGGACAAGAAGCCATATGATTTGAAGACTACTATGATAATTTATAACTTCATTCAGGTCCTGTTAAGCCTTTATTTGGTTCACGAGGGCTTGTTAAGCGGTTGGTTATACGAATACAATTATATCTGTCAACCAGTCGATTATTCGTATAAACCGAGCTCCGTAAGGGTAAGTCTGAGATTTCAATTATTGCTGATAAAACGAATCTATAGATAATATGATAACCGTATGATAAAACATTTTATTGCAAAATTGCAATATAATGTTATAGAGACATTGTAGAGACAAAAAAATTTCAACAAAGTTACAATAATATTAAAAGCTCGTAAGGTATTAAAAATGAAATGGGATTCTATAATATCGCGTCCCGTCCCCTACGTATTGAATTTGATCCTCCCATTTCAGAAGAAAGCAGAAAAGATGACGGAATATATAGAAATCACGTGAGAAAGCTTAAAAGATTCAGATCAATTACTGATTTCAATCTAAGTGACATTGAGAAACATATTTGGAAAATGACAAAAAAGGTGATAAAAGCAACGATCAAGTAAGCTAATAATTTATTAACTTTCCATTAGACACGATGTTTGCTGGGAATCTCTTACCTTGAATATATTAATTTTTTAAATACTTACTTGTACAAATATTACAATAATTGTAAAATGTGACAATGGATCGTTCGCTATTCGCATACAGCTTCTAATACTTACATATAAAATCTGATGTGTATTGTATAACGATAATTATCATGCCAAGTAGGCAAAAATTTTAATGTCTCTATAATTTCTTCTTTTTTTTCGATGAGTTATCAACAAGTTTTTTAGTTGCTTAAGTTTCCTTTTCCAGGTTGTGTGCATTATATAATCAATCTCGGTATTACATTGTAATTATAGTATTACATTACAACAAATTTTTATACATTATTCTTATACATTACCCATTCACATTTAATGTTGCAATCTTGTAGCGTTTTTCTGCAATGTTCTGTAATATATCAGAAAATAACAGTATAATAAGACTCTTGAAGAGATTCAATTTACTTAAATGGGATCAATATTCACTCTGAATATTTCGACACCATGAAACAAGACTTAAATTTCGTAAACATTATAAATATGAAATTTACTAGAAATATTATTTACTAGCACATATATATTTAAATATATAAAAAATCTATCTATATAAAAAAAAAAAAAAAAAAAAAAATGATCAAAAGTCATAAGAAATTTGACCGTAATTTAAATGTCAGACAATAGATTACAAAGTAAATATTTTCCTGACTGCCAAAAGGTGAGAAATTTCTTGTTGTGCGATGATTGCAACAGCTTTAAACTATATACATTACTGCTTTAGTTGTGCAAAATATATATACGCAAGCTCGCGTCAGATGAAAGAACGTTCCGTTCTCCCCGTAGGAAATGTTACTTGTCTTGCATTACTAATTGCAGGTTTGTTCTACTTGAGCTTTACGTAATTATGTCGTTTCGTAGATGGCCCGTGGTGTTTACACGTATTTCATATGTAAGCTGATCGAGCTGCTGGACACCGTTTTCTTCGTGATGCGCAAGAAGGATCGTCAAATCTCATTTCTACATCTCTATCATCATTCAATGATGCCGATCTGCGCTTGGATTGGCGTCAAATTCTTCGCTGGCGGCCATCCGACTCTCCTTGGTGTCATCAACTCTTTCATCCACGTCTTCATGTACACGTATTATATGTTGGCGGCGTTTGGGCCGCATATGCAGAAGTATCTCTGGTGGAAAAAGCATTTGACTACTATGCAGATCGTGCAATTTATTATAATATTCTTTCACAATATTCAAATGTTATTTACTAGTTGCAACTTCCCGAAGCCACTCTCGTTCCTACTTATGCTCAACTCCGGCATGTTCATTTACATGTTCGGATCGTTCTACGTGAATAATTATGTAAAGAAATCGAAGGATCGAAGATCAGAAATAACAAAGAAATCGAAGACTAATGGTGTTGTACGTATCGCGACCAACGGATCCGTTAGCGTTAATGGTAATTCGATCTTCTTTGACGAGATAGACAACGCTAAGTTCGATTAAAGGACTCTCGACGTGGAGTGTTTCTGTTCGCAAGACTGTAACTGCGCGAATAGAAGGATGATTCTTCCAAGGATGATTTATCAAGGGAAACATATATTGGATTTTGTAACGTAGTTGCAATAAACTTCGTATCTACTGAGAGAAAAAATAAAAAAAGAGAAAAAGAGTGAGAGAAAGAGAAATAACGTTCTCGTTATTAAAAGACATTCTCGCGGCCTCGACGTTATTCCGTCAATATTTCTGCAACGCAAATTATGAAAGTAGGTTCACGCATGCTAGTAGGAAAAAGTGGAAGGATTGATTTGACATACTTACGTTAAGAACGATTGGCTTATGAGAACGATCTTTACACTTTTTATTAGATTAGGCGCAATCTAGACGATTTAATCATTATTTCTATAAAAAATCTATTTCTCCGATTTACGAAATCTTGAAGAGTTTGTAAAATAAATTTTAATATGTAATATGATCTGGCGTATTAATTAAGATTAATTTATTATATTTTGCTTCTTGCAAAGTACTTCAAAAATTTCCGTATTTCACTCATCCTTATCATGCATATATGTGTGCACGTATTTGCAAAATATATTAAAATATTTTAAATAACATTAAAAACGAAAAATATAATTTTGTGTAATATATTTTTTTGCAATAAAAAGTAAAAAAAATTAAATAATCTTGTTGTTAAAAAATTAAAATAACATGTTTTTTATGATAAATAATAGACTTCAGAATTTATAACGCACGATTATTATGCCGATTTATACATTAACTCCAAATTTGTCAAAAAAATACATTAAATTTATTAGCTTTATTTATAGAATTATTCTATTTATATATTACTAAGAATTTAGATTATCTTTTATTATTTATATTATTATAGTTATATTATAATGTATTTTTGAAGATGGTAAATTAATGATATCAATGCGGCATGTTATTTATATTATGTATGCAATATATATATATATATCTTGAATTATCTCGTTGTTATTAGTAAAGAAAAAATTTGTTTTAATGCAAATTCGCATTCTATGCATGATATGTATGATGAATGGAATAATTTGCAACATAAATAAAAGAAAATTTGTTAGAGTTAAAGTTTTTGAAGTTTTTAAATTTTATAAAATATTATATTTCGTTCAAGACAAATCATCGCATTGCACGATAAAGAAATAATGTCTCAAGCCGAAGAATAGTATTTTAATATAATAATTGTTGTAAAAAATTTCTTATCGAATATTGATAAGATACTATTATTTAATGCCAATGATTGCTCATATAAACTAAATGGTTTCCCTACAATGAGAATCCAGCGCCGCTTCAATAGAAGTATTGTGCTTCGTTAACGATATTCGTCGGCATTTTAAACTGTTCAATAATTCTCTGTTCAGACATATTAAAAGCCATGACAATAATTGCTTTAACAGAGCAAACTTGTTCAAATATTTTGACACTTAAATCTTTAATTCCAATACGGCGAAATTTCTTTTATAATTGAATTTTATAATAGACAAATCTGTCAAAATCTGAATATCTTAAAAAGTATATTTAATAGTAATTTGTGTTTATTTTTCCAAAAAATTATTACATAAAAATATATTATGATGAAAAGATAATATAATTCATAATTTTAATATTTTTAAATATGTTATATACTCATATTAATTAAAACTTAATTTTTAATAACTAAAATGATAAAACTAATATTCAAACTCCAAACATTTAAAGAATGTTTCAAAACAGTTAAAGTGCCGATTTATTTATAGATAATAACAAATAGATATATAGCGTTTTATTCTCTAATTAAAAATTATTTGTTATTAAATTTTTTTTATTGCGCGTCGTTAATATGTAAAATGCAAATAATTATGAAATTTATGTTGCGCAAACTATATTCACTGTAATTTGAAAATAAATTGGATAACATTGAGAATACATAGAAGACATAAAAGAATTATTTTCAATATCGTTTTTATTATATTCTTAGAAATATAATTAAGGATATTTGCAAAATGTGTGTACAGATTATGCAGTATAGTTACACAATTGTAAGATAATATACTAACAATAAGGGGTGTGTATTTTAATAAAAAGAACACACATTTATTTTAGATACGCATGTATACTTTTTTAATCATTGTATTTTAGTTTTATTAAAAATTTTGTAATAAAAATACGAAAAACATTGTTTTTGAAATAAATGCGTGTTACATGTGCTTATTCTATCCTCGAGATGTGTATGAATATATGTGTATATGTCAGTAAATGCGCGTTCAAAAAGTTATCAAATAATATATAGTAATTACACAATTACAATAATAGAAAATTACAAAATAATTAATGTTACATATTGACATGTATTCTATCAATCTTTATATATTATGTTTTGATAAAAAAAATTATTTATTGCAAGATTATAATATCTTTATTATGCGGACTGATGACCATCGGGCCCGCATAGTGTAATAGATATATGGAGTATGGGTCTCGCGCAATGAAAGTGTAGATATATTTGATCACAAAAAAATCTTATAGAAAATTTTATTTCTTCGTTCGTATTTTCTGTTAAAAATTTAAATATTGAATTTTCTATCCATTGTATAATTAATATATTTTTTATGCATTGATTGCAATAATAATTTTTGCATGTATGCGTTGCTCGATGGCAATCAATCAGTATCGTGGGAAAGCAGCAACAATACTTGCGAAAATCGACATCCCTTTTTTAGAAAGCGATTATGCTAATTTTTAATTTTAATTATAAATTATATATAAATAAAATCTACTCTTATATAATTTTATTCTATAAAATCAAAATTAGAATTCGGTGAACAAAGTTTTTTGTATTCTTTCATCAAAATTATTACTGAGCAAAGATTTCTTTTGGATTTATTATAACATATTATACATATACAACATTTTATAAAATTAATTGAATTAAATTAATTGACATAAACCATTATTGCATAATCTGAATACAAGATGCCATAGTCTTTGAATTGACTAGGAAAATCTCCGCTTCCGCTTCACATACATACATAGACTTAGTCATCTGTATAACTAATGATAGAATATATAATATAATAAGCATGACAAATCTAAAATTCTATTTTACGAAAATATATTTTGTGTCTTTTTATTTGATCAGTTGCTTTCAGCTATTCAAGTAACAACCCAGATAGCATAGTTATTCGAAAAGAATTCATTTGTATGTCACCAATTTCGAGTCCCTTTTCAAATACATATAGAATTCATTTTGTAAAATGAATTCTTTATGTATCTGAAAAGGGACTCGAAATTGGTGACATACAAGGTGACATCCAAATAAATTCTTTTCGAATAGCTGTGCTATCTGGGAAATTCTCTCAATAATATTTTTACTTTTCTTGTTATGCAATTGATCATGTGAAATCTGACAAGTAATTATGCAAAGAAAATATAATTAAACATAATTCTTTTGTAAAAATAAATATATATTTATTATTTAAATAAAGAGAAAAGATAAAAAGTGACATGTTCAAAACAGATCTGACGAAAAAAATCATATAAAAGAAAATTTTTTTAAAAATTATATCAAAGAAAAATTGACGAAAAATTAATTAATTAGACATTGTTGCCTTTGTGAAAAAATGATTGCATATAATATAATAATTTGTTTAAGAAATTGCAGCATATTAAAACAATCAATTTTGAAATAACTGTAAACTTTAAATTGTCGTGTCATCGGTTGAACATTTCTCATGATGTGTCTTCTTTCTTTCCATTATACAATTAATTCTATATACATATTCACATGAATTAATAAATATTTATTAATTTATTTGATATTCTTATTTATTATGTATAAGGAGGAAAGAGAGAGAAAAAAACGGATATATTAACATCAAATCAACTATAGGAATGTTATTAATTTTAAAGTAAAAAATGTTATAACGTAATATTACGTGTATAACGTAATAATACGTAATATTAACGTGTGTATATATATATATATATATATATATATATATATATATATATATAATCTTAAAATTAGTCTTGAAAGAATAAAGTCATCATATTTTTATTATAAGGAAAAATATAGTAATCGATATTTTCGATGCGAATGATTTCGAGAGAATGCTGTTATTCTACAATTTCGGGAAAGTTCGTTTCAATAACATGTATGTATGAAGCAAAATACAATACGCAATGATATTACGCATTGTTGTAACACATGTGTTACAAAATAATCGGCGAAGAGTTTCGGTCAGTCTACTGATCAAAACTCTAAAATTTGTACAACTCAACCATATCTAATCATATAAGCTATCCCAACCATATGACATGTTCATAGATATACATACACATAATAGATATACAGTAGATATACAATAGATATACAAATAGAATACAATAGTTATTGTATCATGTGTGACTTAACAGAAATTCTAAATTTTTTAAAATTAAATGGGATAATTTTACATACGTTTTTAAAAGTAATTAAACTTTTTAATAGTGCAACACATCTTTACAATTTTTACATTAATTTGTTCTAACACATATCACAACATTGGTGTCAACAAGGAATAGGTCGTGATTGACGGACCTTCCTATATTATATAATACTTTGTAACGTATATGTAACACATGTTTTGTAAACGTATATGTATTCTTTTACCAAAAGCACAAAATATGTCTAGACTGAAACGTAAAATTGCTCACATATCTATCGTATAAGAGAACGATATATTTCTTCAATAATCTGAATTATTTATTTAATGTCACTTTATTTATTTCTTTCTTCTCATAACTTCCTTTATTATAGAAGAGATTTATGCATTTCTTCCGACTAAATGTTTTAAATGCCTCAAGATTACACAATTTGTGATCGCAATTACTTACATTTTCTTACTCTGTTTGCGCATTCTTGCAAAAACTATAATTACACTTAATTGTGAGCTGTTGGTACTTGGTAGAATCACGCGAAATATAACGTGCATATTGTCAGCGGCGGTATGTGACTAGTCAACATGACCAGCACTAATGATTTGTTATGTTCTTAATGCTAATTTTATTATAAAAAGTTGATAAAAATGAAAACAGAAAAAAGAAAAAATATAATATATTAAAATATATTAAAAAATATTGAGAGAGAGAAAGAGAGAGAGAGAGGGAGAGAGAGAGAGGGAGGGAGAGAGAGGGGGGGGGAGAGAGAGAGAGAGAGAGAGAGAGCATTCAGAAGTTTTTTTATAAATAAGCGATATATTGCACACACATTATTCACATTTTTCACTGCCCATTATTATAACATGTGAAACATGTATAGTATTATATAAATAAAATATAATAATAATTTCTTTAAAACTTTTGAATAGACATATCTCTCATAAGAAAATATTTGCAATTTAATGGTACCTTCTTATTGTAATATTGCTTACTTTCAATTATCATATTGTTTATTCAAAATCATCTATTTTGCCTATTTTGTTTGATTTTTCAGATAACAAAGTAAATAATGTAACGCAAAAATAATTTAAATTATAATGACTTAATTGAATAACAGATAACAGAAATTGTAATGCGTACAATAAAAATATTACGTAAATATTATGTATATGATATTTTCAGATATTCGATTTTTCGATATAAAAATATAAAATATCATAAATGTACTTTTTAGATTTTTATAAGATTTGCTTATAGAAATCTAACAATAAATCAGTAAACAACAAATTAATATTAATAGATATTAATATTATTGGTATATTTTAATATAAATATAAATTAATATGTCACATCTTTAACGATATTCAAATATAAAGAAAACAAACAAAAATTGGAAATGGAATTTCCTATACTAATGAATTTTTATGGATGCAGTTTGTTCATTAATCTATGCTCTTGATTATTATACGATACATGTATCAATAAACAAATATGCAAATATCGAGAAAATGAGTATATAATTTTATTGTAGAATTTTCATTCTTTATTATTACTACGCAGAAACAACAACGTCATAGTTAACAAATGTATATTTCCTTTCTCGAATGTTGGTCATATGATTGCTGTAACGTTTCATATTCACGTTCTTAACAATGTCACGCGTCTGAGCAATGTGAGTGCAATTACGTTGCAATTAGCCGGAATTATCTGCAGAGATGACACTAAAGGAGTATGTCGCCAACAAAATTAGGGACTTAACACATTTCGAAGACTCGCAATGTTACAACGCTATTAGCTGAAAAGAATATGTCAACTTTTTCATCAGAAGAAATTAAGAAGTCACATTCTATTTAAATATAATATGTAAAAAATGAAGATAATTTTCAATACGTATAAAAAAGAAAACATATTGTAATATTGACACATTCGTATATAGTAATACAAATAAGAACGATTAATTAGAAACATTATTATTTTATTTTTGGTATTAAAATTATTTTCTGAAATTATATTCGAAATGAAAAACTTTCTCATATTATACATTCTTCACGATGCGTATCAATCATAATACTGTATAACATGACATAAAATATGCTATAAGTGATTCCAACAAATTGGTCCGACAAATATTGATTGAAAAAAAATAAAATGTAAATAAATTTTAGATACTGCTAAAGCAATTTTTTCGATTTAATTACTTATAAATATTAAATATTTTTTTCGTGATTGTGAGTTAAGTTGTTCTGAAAGGTCACATTTCCTAGAAGGGATAAGTGTCAGTGCGACACCTGGAGGCCCCTGTGTTTGTTAAACAGACATGCTATAATTACAATACAATGAGGAGGAACTTTATGACAAGACAGAAATGCGTCTTTGCAGTTGATTCGCGAGTTCCATAGTGACTAGTCGCTTGAAGTAAATTGGTGGAAAGAGAGACGAGTAAAAAAACATACTTTTGACTAGTTGAGTGAAATGTTCTTATACTTAGATTCAAGATAATCAATTCGGATAATAATCGGAAATAATTATTTCAATTAAAGGAATTAAAAATTAGAAAGCAACACGAAATTATTATTTTTCTATCAAAATTATACATATAAACTATTAGGAAATGAGAATATATCAAGCAAATTAATCAGTGTTTTCATTTGTCATTCATGAGCATTACGATAAAGAAGCCTAATCGCATAACAGTTTTTCTTGGTTCTTCCAAATATATAAAAGTAATACCGGAACTTTATTTACATCCGTCATCGCTATGGCTGCAATTATACAAGAAATCATGGATAGATATAAATATATTAACGAAAATCTGGCAGGTGAGTATTTCGTCTTACATCAAATATTACAATTAGAATAATAAAAATATTGTGAAAATATAAATAAAGTAAAAAAAGAATGATAATTTATGATGTCAATAAATTATAAAAAAATGTATGGTCGATTAAAAATTACTACCATTTTTTAAATTATAAAAAATGTTAGATTTCTATAAGAAGAATTTTAATTAAAGATTTTGTTTATATTTATAAATTTCATTTTTAATAAATTAAATAACAAATAAATAAGAATAAATAAATATATTTTCTCTTTTCACTCGTATTAAAAAAGTCATTAATAATTTTAGGACAAATGTTATGATATTTATTTGGCATCTTAAAATATACACACAACATACATACACATATGTGTGTATATATATATATATATATATACACACACATTCATATATACACACATTTACATATATATAATTTATAATAATATATCATGTATATTATAAGAACTAAAATTTAACTTTTTTATATTGCAAGATCCACGTACCAAAGATTACTTAATGATAGGCACGCCATGGCCTTGCTTAGCTCTGCTTGGATTTTATATATATTTTATTTATAATCTTGGACCGAGACTTATGGAGAGGAGACAACCTTTCAAACTGAATAGGATATTGCAAATATATAATCTTTCACAAATTTTAATAAACGCATATATATTTTATAGAGTAAGTCATATTGTTATATTTTTAATTAATTTCTCTGATCATTTATATAAACAAGAACCAATTTTTCTATTTATAGTTTAGCACGTATATTTAAAAATCATATAATTTGATGACAAAAAATTGACAAATTTATATTTTAACAAGATAAGTTCTAAAAATATTTCTATTTTTGCAAATTTTTACTGCGCTTTTTTAAGATAGAAGAGTATTTGAGTTTGAAAACATGTTTTTCTATTACAAATTTGATTGTTCTAATGTGTAGACTTTGGAATGTTTAATCAATACACTATTAATAGATTGTGCATTAAGTAAAGTTCATCAATACAATATTATTACTGTTTACATAATTGTCTAAAATATGTAATTATATGTACATTTTAAAGGCATTAGAATTGGCGTGGTTTCGTGACTACAGTTATTTTTGTCAGCCTATTGATTATTCATACACACCAAAGGCCATAGAGGTAAGAATTTAATTAATTAAAAATAGAGTTTTATTAAAATTATTAAAATTGAAATTATTAATTTTGTTGTCAATTATATTTATTCATAAAATATGATTCTTCAGACAAAAAAAGAACTATAATCACTAGCGGATCCTGATATCAATAATAAGAGGGTGTCTCTGCAAAAGTATTTAATTAATATTTTTTGTTTTATGCTTAGCTATAGTTAATAATATTATTCCAGGATCAACGACGAATTTTTTTTAATTTACAAGGGTGGTTTAACCCCCCCCCCCCCCGCCAGGATCCACTAATGACGATAATATATTATTATAGTTATTTAGCTATAATATGCTAATATTAACATTAATATATCGATAATTAGATTCAAATTGCACATTAGATGTTATAAATATATTTAGTTTTATTTTTCGTTTACATAGAAATAAGAGACAAAAAAATGTTTATATATCTGCCTGCTAAACAGATCACAAGAACAATGTGGCTGTATTTCCTGGTTAAAATATTGGATTTGTTGGAGACATTTTTTTTCGTACTCAGGAAGAAACAGAATCAAATCAGCTTTCTTCATGTATATCATCATGTGGGTATGGTAATGGGTACTTGGGGTGCTACAAAATATCTTCCTGGCGGTCATGTTACTTTCTTAGGTATATATTACAAATTAAAAAATTTAATTTATTATTGTTAATGATTCATGCTTTTCAATTTAAAATGCCATAATTTTATAATTATATATAATCGCAAGTAATAATTTCTTCTTTTTTACTTTCTTGATATGAAAACTGGATATAATATAAGCACGAAGTGTATATGTGTGTTATATTATATATCTTTATATTATTTATTATATATATTAAAAGTCAAGTTATATATTCATCATTCAGAATTAAATAATGAATTGCTGAATTAATTTAATTTATAAAGAGAAGGTCTTGTACTTTATGGTTAATTAAGTAATTATTAACATGTATTTTTCAGGATTGGTCAATACATTTGTACATGCAATAATGTACACCCATTATCTACTATCGTCTATGAAAATAGATACAAGCTCGTTTAAGAAATACATCACTCAATTGCAATTGGTTCAATTTTTCCTGATCATTTTACACTACGCACAATTAGCCTGGGTGGAAGATTGCGGGTTCCCGTTTTGGCCAGCATACATTATGATACCACAGAATTTCTTCATGATTATATTATTTGGAGAATTTTATTATAAAACGTATATTAAAAAACAGCCAGCTGTTAGAGTGGTATCGAATAAGACGGAAACAAATGGCACAATTCCCGTTGAAGTCTCGAAAGAAAAATCAAAAGATCAATGAATTCGAAATGTATTGTTTAGTATTTTTCTCCCTTTCTTTCTCTTTCTCTTTAGATATATATTTTTTTTATTTTTAGCACTAATATTAATGTGCTTCTTAGAATTTAAACAGTTTTTCATTGAACATATCCTATTATTACTCTTAATTCTTTATTGTGATAAACTGATTATTAATGATTGTTAGAGGCAATTATTTCAACATATCTAAAAAAATACATCGTAAAGTGTAGTCTTTTGATATCCGAAATTACAGAATTTTTTCTATAAAATTAGCTACGTTTATGAGTTATATAATGTAACAATCAGTTAATCAATTTCTCTTTATATATTTAATCTCTTGCTCTAATATTAAATTTTCTAATTAATGTCTGAAATAATATAAGCAATAAGAATGTGCACATACAGTTATAAAAACTTTATTATTATTCTTTTGCCATAAAAATATGCACCTCACGTTTTATTTAAGGCCATTCTTCAATCACACTTATGTACTTTGCATTTGTTCAACTATTTCTGTATAATAAGAACGATACGTTTGATGTAATACTTACTCTTTCTCTATACTTGAAATAACGCTAAAGTTTTAAGTTCAAAATAACAGAATATCACTGTAAATTTTTAAAATAATTTTTATTTTAGAAAATTAAATTCAGGTTTTAAGTGACTTAAGATAACAATTACAATATCGGAAATATTCTTTTGAAAAAAACTTTAATATTGATGTAATTGAAACACTGTTATTATCAGCGATATCATTTATACACATAATCACTATAATAATCCTAATTTATATTTTTAAATTAATTTGATTAAATAAAAATATAAATTATGATACTGATAATATAGGTAATATACAATAGATATGAATATACGTACATTGATATTAAACCATAAATGTATTTTATATATTCTATCCACATACAATTTAAAACAAATTTTTATAAAACATTATATCTGCATAATAAAAAAATTATTAATTAAAATTATATTAAATCTCCTCATCATATATGCCTCCTTTGATTACGTAATTCGCATTTAAAATGTTAAATAACAATAGTAACAATAGAGTCATTTTAATCGATAAGTTATTTTAATAATTAATTTCAATATAAAGTTACAATACAAGATGCAAAATAAGATATTACTAATCAAAACAATCATTATAATTAAACGCAAAGCGAAGTTATATTATTACTTTGATAATAAAATTTCGGTGCATGCATGTAAAAATTATTCTTGCAATCAATGCATCAAAAATATATTAATTAATTATATAATACATAACAATTTATTATTTAAATCTTTTACAGAAAATACGAACGGAGAAATAAAATTATCCACAAAAATCTTTTGTGATTAAATTCTACGCTTTCATTAAACTCGCCCGAGACTCTATAACCTTTACATCCATCACCTTGCGCGACTTGCCCCAGACTAATTTTCGTGCGAGGTATCGTAAGCGCGAAACCGACAATCACATGACAACTGATAAAGTGACCATACAAAAAAAAATTCCGACATACGAATACACAGTATTATTTAATATCGTTTCTAATCGTAGGAAGTGATTTTCGTTTCGCTTGTAGTTGTACGCTTTAATAAATACAGTAATTTAAAAAAAACTGTCAAAGCTGATTCTCTTCGAATTTCAAGAGATTCAAATTCTGCCTTTTCAATAAATATATTTTTCGATTAAAAATGTTCGAAACAAAAAAAATCGATTTCAAACACAACTGAGCATGTAAATTTTAAATATCTTACAATTTGTGACTTTTTAAATTTTTCGATTCGAAATCGATATTGACCTACCTTCACTTAAAGATTTTTATTCGCACTTGAAAATGTCATGTCTTTGATATATTAATGAAAATGTGACACTTGACTTTAAGGATATAATTTTCTAATACGAAAAACGACAGCATTTCGATCGCAAGCCTCGTCAATGTAAAAATCGAAATATAAAATTATGACCCAACTTTAAAATGTAGCAAATCCGAATACGTAGTATTATTTTATATCGTTTCTAATTGATGAAAGTGATTTTCGTTTCGCTTGTAACTGTACGCTTTAAAAAATACAGAAGTTTAAACAAAACTGTCAAAGATGAATTTTTTCAAATTTCAAGATTTTTTAATTCTGCTTTGTAAATCGAAGTAACATTTGCAGACGAATGTCCCGAACCACAAAAAACAATTTTAAACACGACTGAGCATGTATATTTATAATATCTTAAAGCTTGTCACTTTTAAATTTTTCGCTTCAACATCGAAATCGATCTATCTTTGCTTAAAGAATTGAAACGCACTTGAAAATGTGTTTTTAATATATATTAATGTGAATCTGACAGCTGATTATATAGAAATAATTTTTTTAATACCGAAAATGATAGTACGTCGATCGCTCGCGTCGTCATTCGAAAAATCGAAAGTTCAAGTTTTTCCCCAAATTGAAAATAACGCAAATTCAAATCAGCAGTCTTATTAAGAATCGTTTATAGATGTGTGAAGTAAATTTCGTTTCGCTTTAAATTGCACACTTTAAAAAATACAGCCGCTTTAAGAAAACTATCAAAAATGAATTTTTTCAAATTAAAAATAACGCAAATCCAAATCAGCAGTCTTATTAAGAATCGTTTATAAATGTGTGAAATGAATTTCGTTTCGCTTTAAGTCGCACACTTTAAAAAATAAAGCAGTTTAAACAAAACTGTCAAAAATAAATTTTTCAAATTGAAATAACGCAAATCCAAATCAGCAGTCTTATTAAGAATCGTTTATAGTTGTGTGAAATGAATTTCGTTTTGCTTTAAATCGCACACTTTAAAAAATACAGCAGTTTAAACAAAACTGTCAAAAATAAATTTTTTCAAATTGAAAATAACGCAAATCCAAATCAGCAGTCTTATTAAGAATCGTTTATAGATGTGTGAACTGAATTTCGTTTCGCTTTAAGTCGCACACTTTAAAAAATACAGCAGTTTAAACAAAACTATAAAAAATGAATTTTTTCAAATTGAAAATAACGCAAATCCAAATCAGCAGTCTTATTAAGAATCGTTTATAGATGTGTGAACTGAATTTCGTTTCGCTTTAAGTCGCACACTTTAAAAAATACAGCAGTTTAAACAAAACTGTCAAAAATAAATTTTTTCAAATTGAAAATAACGCAAATCCAAATCAGCAGTCTTATTAAGAATCGTTTATAGATGTGTGAACTGAATTTCGTTTCGCTTTAAGTCGCACACTTTAAAAAATACAGCAGTTTAAACAAAACTGTCAAAAATAAATTTTTTCAAATTGAAAATAACGCAAATCCAAATCAGCAGTCTTATTAAGAATCGTTTATAGATGTGTGAACTGAATTTCGTTTCGCTTTAAGTCGCACACTTTAAAAAATACAGCAGTTTAAACAAAACTGAAAAATGAATTTTTTCAAATTGAAAATAACGCAAATCCAAATCAGCAGTCTTATTAAGAATCGTTTATAGATGTGTGAACTGAATTTCGTTTCGCTTTAAGTCGCACACTTTAAAAATACAGCAGTTTAAACAAAACTGTCAAAAATGAATTTTTTCAAATTGAAAATAACGCAAATCCAAATCAGCAGTCTTATTAAGAATCGTTTATAGATGTGTGAACTGAATTTCGTTTCGCTTTAAGTCGCACACTTTAAAAAATACAGCAGTTTAAACAAAACTGTCAAAAATAAATTTTTTCAAATTGAAAATAACGCAAATCCAAATCAGCAGTCTTATTAAGAATCGTTTATAGATGTGTGAACTGAATTTCGTTTCGCTTTAAGTCGCACACTTTAAAAAATACAGCAGTTTAAACAAAACTTTAAAAATAAATTTTTTCAAATTGAAAATAACGCAAATCCAAATCAGCAGTCTTATTAAGAATCGTTTATAGATGTGTGAACTGAATTTCGTTTCGCTTTAAGTCGCACACTTTAAAAAATACAGCAGTTTAAACAAAACTGTCAAAAATAATTTTTTCAAATTGAAAATAACGCAAATCCAAATCAGCAGTCTTATTAAGAATCGTTTATAGATGTGTGAACTGAATTTCGTTTCGCTTTAAGTCGCACACTTTAAAAAATACAGCAGTTTAAACAAAACTGTCAAAAATAAATTTTTTCAAATTGAAAATAACGCAAATCCAAATCAGCAGTCTTATTAAGAATCGTTTATAGATGTGTGAACTGAATTTCGTTTCGCTTTAAGTCGCACACTTTAAAAAATACAGCAGTTTAAACAAAACTGTCAAAAATAAATTTTTTCAAATTGAAAATAACGCAAATCCAAATCAGCAGTCTTATTAAGAATCGTTTATAGATGTGTGAACTGAATTTCGTTTCGCTTTAAGTCGCACACTTTAAAAAATACAGCAGTTTAAACAAAACTGTCAAAAATAAATTTTTTCAAATTGAAAATAACGCAAATCCAAATCAGCAGTCTTATTAAGAATCGTTTATAGATGTGTGAACTGAATTTCGTTTCGCTTTAAGTCGCACACTTTAAAAAATACAGCAGTTTAAACAAAACTGTCAAAAATAAATTTTTTCAAATTGAAAATAACGCAAATCCAAATCAGCAGTCTTATTAAGAATCGTTTATAGATGTGTGAACTGAATTTCGTTTCGCTTTAAGTCGCACACTTTAAAAAATACAGCAGTTTAAACAAAACTGTCAAAAATAAATTTTTTCAAATTGAAAATAACGCAAATCCAAATCAGCAGTCTTATTAAGAATCGTTTATAGATGTGTGAACTGAATTTCGTTTCGCTTTAAGTCGCACACTTTAAAAAATACAGCAGTTTAAACAAAACTGTCAAAAATGAATTTTTTCAAATTGAAAATAACGCAAATCCAAATCAGCAGTCTTATTAAGAATCGTTTATAGATGTGTGAACTGAATTTCGTTTCGCTTTAAGTCGCACACTTTAAAAAATACAGCAGTTTAAACAAAACTGTCAAAAATAATTTTTTCAAATTGAAAATAACGCAAATCCAAATCAGCAGTCTTATTAAGAATCGTTTATAGATGTGTGAACTGAATTTCGTTTCGCTTTAAGTCGCACACTTTAAAAAATACAGCAGTTTAAACAAAACTGTCAAAAATAAATTTTTTCAAATTGAAAATAACGCAAATCCAAATCAGCAGTCTTATTAAGAATCGTTTATAGATGTGTGAACTGAATTTCGTTTCGCTTTAAGTCGCACACTTTAAAAAATACAGCAGTTTAAACAAAACTGTCAAAAATAAATTTTTTCAAATTGAAAATAACGCAAATCCAAATCAGCAGTCTTATTAAGAATCGTTTATAGATGTGTGAACTGAATTTCGTTTCGCTTTAAGTCGCACACTTTAAAAAATACAGCAGTTTAAACAAAACTGTCAAAAATGAATTTTTTCAAATTGAAAATAACGCAAATCCAAATCAGCAGTCTTATTAAGAATCGTTTATAGATGTGTGAACTGAATTTCGTTTCGCTTTAAGTCGCACACTTTAAAAAATACAGCAGTTTAAACAAAACTGTCAAAAATAAATTTTTTCAAATTGAAAATAACGCAAATCCAAATCAGCAGTCTTATTAAGAATCGTTTATAGATGTGTGAACTGAATTTCGTTTCGCTTTAAGTCGCACACTTTAAAAAATACAGCAGTTTAAACAAAACTGTCAAAAATAAATTTTTTCAAATTGAAAATAACGCAAATCCAAATCAGCAGTCTTATTAAGAATCGTTTATAGATGTGTGAACTGAATTTCGTT